TTCTGGCCCTGGCAGTGGGTTCGCAATGGAGAACGCGATCGGCGCTTGTCGGGCGAGGGCGAGCGGCTCCACCCAGGCGGCAGCGATGCGGATGGGGGAGCAGCGGGGTCTGCCCCGGCGGAGAGCCCTGCCCGGGCGGGGGCTGCCCCATCGCCCGCGGCGGGAACTTCGCTCGGTGCCCTCGCAACTCGGAAACATTAACGGGAAAAAAAAAAAAATAAATTAAGAAATAATATTTTTTTTTAAAAGCACAGTAGAAACGAGGGAAAATGGCCATGCATGCATGAGATGTGTGTAGCCTGTGGATGATCCTCCTGTGCCGCGTGTAACCAGGGATGGTTTGATGAGGAGCGGCTTGAGGCTCCTAAATGAGAGGAGTGGTGATGAGCAAGAGGCTCCTTATTTAAAGAAGCAGTGAGCAGAGTAAGGGGAGATAAGCGGGTGTGGATATGTGCATTCCTCAGACATCGCCTCTACTAGAAGATGTGTTCTTCAGCTGCTGGCTGTCAGATTTTTCAGGGATGACTTGCCAGCTTTTGTCCCCTCTTCTCTGAGGTGCTACATGCGGTCTGCTGTTGCCACTGCTCTTTCTAAGCATTAGTTAATAGTCCTCTCCAGAGGATTTGTACCAGCTGATACATTTACAGTATGAAAACCACAGGGGTATCTAATACAAGCATCTCATTTCCTGCAGGAAACAGAACAGTCATACTGCAGGGCTTTTTTTTTATGGTCTGAGCAGAGGGCTTATTTGGCCTCTTAGCTGTGGTCATAAATCTCTGTTTTCTGTTAGCGTGAAAATACTGATTTGCTTTTGCATTAGCTTCTTTGCCTGATCTTATAAAGTTATGTGGTACAGAGTTTTGGTGCTTACCGAAGTGCATTCCAGATTTGGTGTCTTTACATCCTTCTTTATCAAACCCCATTTCTGTTTCACTGGATTCCTTCATTCCTGTTGGTGGATAAGGGGAGGAGAAAATAGGAGATGCAGCAGTGGACACAAGGTATGCCAGAACTGTAGTGCTCCATTTACAAAAAACAAATCATGGACTTTATTTTTACCCATAAAATACCAGCTTGTAGGATACTAGTGCAGCTGGTAGAAAGGAAGGAGGAAGAAAACGTAATTCATACTCTATAGAATTATTATTATTAGTAGTAGTAGTGGTAAAATGTCTCTTCTGGCTCTTGAACTGTTGTAGTAATTAACTCTTCAATATATCTTTTTTAATTAAATACTAAAGATTTTAATGTTTTTTTCCTCCTGAAGCATCTGAACATGTGTTTTGATTAGTGTGGTTGCAAGAAGGCAGAGATCTCGTTTGGTGGCCTTCCTCTGGAGAGCATTGTCATTGCTTGAACAAAAGAATTCTAACAAATAGATACTGTGTGTAGTCTATAACATGGTGGTTGCCATAGTAAACCAGGGCAGTAAACACCTGTTCAGAAACAATGCTATTTGAAAAATAAATCATCTCTGACCTTTGGCACCCTAAAATAAATTCAACACTCTTAAGACTCCCTGTGTTGAATTTTGTTTAAAATCCATAATCAAAAAATATTCTCTTGATCTCCTTATTGTTGGGAGGAAATGTTGGATTATTGTTTCAGGCCTTGCAGATCAGGGCCCGACTTCAATGTTTCATTTGGATGTAGGGAGAGCTGTAGGTACTTTGTATTGCTCTTTGAAAGTACTGGAAATGCTGCTGTAGATGAGAGGAAATGATTTACAATGAAGAAGGGTTTGTTGGAGAAGGAGTAAAGCAAAATTGCATTGCACAAGGTGATAGGTTTCGGTCTTGCACAGAGGAAGAGACTTACAATATACACAAAGGTCTTTAGAATAAAGAATATTACCAGCCTGATATTCTATAGCATTTCAAGTTGTAAATAACTGGATCCCTGTCCCTAAGGTCTTCCTGGCAGAGTGAACCTGAAAAGCGTACCTTTGCTAGAGAGAGGAGGAATACCTTTGTACATCAACATGGAGGAAATGCACAGCAGAGGAGAAATGGTGAATGCAGTGACAGCAGAGCACCGTCACAGAACAAATAAAGTTGAGCAACAGCGTTGGCGTGGGCTTTGTGTTTCTTTTTTTAAACACAAGTTTGTAAATAATAGCCTCATTTTGGCTTGTCCTTGTATGTCTCGTACATTTACTGGGGCAAGTTTAGAGGATATTATTGAAAGTTTAGAGAAAAATACAGCATATATTTTAAGGAGCTACTATTAGATATCAAAAGGGTATGCAAATAAATGCACTAATGTAAGAATACTATGAATCTCTAGAGTCTAAATAAGTAGTATATTAGAATACAAGCTTATAAATGTTTGAAAATGACCTTTCCTTAAAAGCACACTCACACTTTTATTTTGTCAATTGCAAACAATCAGCTTTGTGATGAGCTGTGCATGTAAGTTACCAAGATATTATGAAGTTTCAAAGGCTTTTTGTAGTGTATGTTGGGAAATATCTCTCAAAGAGTATGTTCTTGCCTGTCACAGCTTACCCCCACTGATGTCTGGTGGTGCACATGATGTTTTGACACTCTCCCCTAACCTACATTCGGAAACACTTAATGTGTTTTGTCATAACCAGTGATTGTGAAAGAGAGGGTGTGCAGTAAGTGCTCAAGATCAGCTCTCTGTCTGTGCCTCCCACATAAATAGATGTTTAAGTGTCAGGTGGCTGTAGCTGTGGTGCTGAGGCTCTCCTGGTGCACTGGACTAACAGCAGACACAGTTTGGGTCCATTTGTTTTTCTTCGTCTGAAAGAAGAAATCACATAAAATGGAAACTGGCTTTCCACCATAGTTGGCTGTTTCTTGCTTAACATCCACTTTAAAAATACAAGAAATTGATTGGTTATTGAATTGATTATTGGGTGCTGTATTATTTATAGGGGGGTTTCTTTCCTTTTTTTTTTTTAATAAGTGAAGTGTTCATCTGTGCAGAATTCTTAGGATGCTTTTACTAACCCTGAGATGAGGATTTTTTTAAGCATATGTATTTATTGGACATACTTGCAGGGCTTGATCAGAGTTTTGTAGCTTTGGTTTCTGTCTTGCTTTCTGTTTGGTCTTTTTTTCCAGAGAATTGCAGTCACCCTCTTCTGCAAGACTGTTTTAGCTGATGATTTCTTAGAAACTGAAGAAACATTACAAATCACTTTATAGAAGCAATTTACATTCTCATTTGCAGTCTCATATTTTAAACTATTTTGTGTGTAAGTGGGGTGAAGGGGAATTGGCTTTAAACAGTGTTTAACCATTGTAGTATAATTAAGGCTCATGTAATATTGAAATAAGCTATAGACTGATTTTTTTTTTTTCCTAGGTAGCTGTTATCTTTTAACCTTTGACTCTTACTTTTTCCATTTACCCTGACTCCTGGTTGCTATCCTAACTTTTGATGACTTTCTCAAGCAGAACACATTCTTTTACACTTCCCTGCTAAATTGAAACTGAAAGTTTCAATTAAAGTTTTCAAGTAAAAGCTTTTCTGTTCAACAGAAACTGAAAGTAATGATATAGGGATTGAAGGAGGGAAAACAGAGATAGTAATTTTCTTCACTTAAAAGGTAGTGGAACTACTGATGTGATATTTTAGTACTGACTTGATAGTGAAATTTAGATATGTTTGGTGATGTTCATGTATAAAAGTATAGAAAACATACCAAAAAACATAGTTCCTCTGAATTTATGGAAATCAAACACAAAGATGCCTGGTCAAGCTTAGGAAACTTCTGCAAAGGAGAGCCCAGAAAGCTCAGAAGTGTGTAACAAAAGTAATGTGATTTTTTTTTTTATTTTCTTAACTATGCACCAAATGACTGTTATCAGAAATTAACTTGTTTTGCAAAGAGAGTTTCTGGTCTATGATGTTCTGCAAATTCTTAAGTTCATCATACATCCTCATACCAATTTTAAATCTTAAGACCAATGATTTTTATTTTTAAGATAATTTTAACTTGTATATGGTGTCAACGCATGTTTTTTGATAATTACTTGAATATAGTTTAGCTTGATGTGGTAATACTTTCCTAGTGTCTGCATAAGGTTGAATGCTTGAGGTGTTTTTCTGTTGCCACCAGAGATAACTCCTTCCCTGGTCCATAAGGGAGCTTGGCATATTTAGGATCCTTACAGACAGCTACCTCTAATATGGAGATAAAGCACAGATAATTGGTAGTAGCAGATATTTTCAGGACTTTGAAATCCCAGGCTGCAAATATGGACTAATGTAATAATGCAAAAGGGTTTTATAATCCCTAATACTTTGCATAATTTGTATATCTTTTCAAAAGCTCTTCTGCTTCTTTTGTAACTTACAGCATCACAGGAAGTGGAATATGCGCTCCTTGCACAGGAAGAAACCAGTAGGCAAAAGTCATCAGGACATTTGGGATCAGTTCTTAACTTTGGGGAATTTTAAGTGTACTGAAAACAATCCCTGACTTACAATACTTAGCTTTTCTTTATCTGTAAATTAAAAACTAATTAGATTTAGCCCATATTTAGGTGTTTATTTCCATTCTTTGATTGATTTTGGTTACCTTTAATCACTTGATATTTAAGAAAAAAAATAATAAATCGTTTGTCCCTGTGCTAAATGGAGTAATACTGGGAGGTGTTAAGTGCTGTGGAAGGGTGGGTTCTGCAGCTGTTAATTAGAACTTTTGGTTATTCAGCAATTTTTGTGTATCAGTGTGTATTCCATGAATGCTTATTGGAATGCAGTATCTTAACTAAGCAAACTTTGCAGGTATAGTATGTCATTTTACGGTCCCATTACGATTGTAACTTTTTGACTGCTGAAATTTTGAAGAGTAAGTAAAACGCCCAGATTGGAACATTTTTTTTTCTGTTTCCTCGTGCCTTTCTCCCCAAACAGTTTAGAAGAAACACAATTTGAAATATTGTCACCATATTCATCCCTGTCCACTGCCTAACCCACACACCAAATTTCTTTTTGTTTCATTTTATCATTTTTGACACAGTGTGACTACAAATGTGAGGAAATATTTAACAGTGGGAGTTTTTCGTAGAGTCAAGGCTTTCCTCAACTTACTTCTTCAAGTCAGGTACCATTTGAGTTTGTAAAGTTGAATTAAATTTTTTTAAAGTTATTATTTTTCTTTTTTTTTTTTTTTTAATCCAGCAGTTTGTCCGAGCTGTGGCAGAAACCTGGCCTACCTTTTGCTTACCAAGTTTGACGTATTTCATAGTTATACATGTTCTAGAAATATTTTGCCTTTGCTGAGTGATGTGGAAATGGTTCTTCTCCATGGATTTTTGAATAGCAGCAGAGAAACAAAATGGTGTAAATAAGATAACAGAGGTGTCGCTTATTCTCATGTAAAAGGGATAGAATATCACGAATCTTAGACAGGATATGGAGGAAATGCAGCCTTGTATTTGGCCTGTTATTTATACTTTTTCCAAGAGTGGATGAGCATGTTAAGTACACTGACTAGCATCTTTCATATTATCCCTGTAACACTGTATGAATATATGTGTGAAACTCCTGTGTCTTGTGATTTGTCTGCACATGAATATTAAATAAAGATTTAAGAACTTAAAGCCTTACAGAATAAGCTGTATGAAGAAGGAAATGTGTGCTGTTTGGGATCAGATTAGGTAAAAAACTACTTAAGAAAGGATTTATTATTTACTTTTTCTGTGTTCATGTACAGAAGATCAAAAAATCCGAGAAGAAATCTGCCAATTAATGTCTGTAACGTAAGACGTAACATCAATCACCTGTAGTGGAACATCTTAGCTGATAAGATCTCTTTGAAGTAAAACTTGAATTGCATTCTCAGAATCTGGTATTTTACATTTGTTTGGTTTTAAACTTAAGTTTGAAGAATTTTAAATTCCATTTATATTTAAGGTAATGTTAGATTTCAAGAATAATAGATTTGTCCTTCTGAAAATACCGTTACTGTAGTAAGTCAGAGCCAGGTAGAATTACAAAGTCTATGCTGTTATCTTTATTTTAGAGAAGAATTTGCATCACGTGGGAACAATATGCATTTTGCATCTTAAAGCTGTTTAAAAGTAGAAGAGTTTTTATCCCCCCAAGTATTTAAAGTAAAAAAAAAAAAAATTCTAAAGTTTTGCACTTTTTGTATCACAGACATACGCTTTTAACAGTTTCCTTTAAGAGGACTTCATTCCTTTAAAGAGCAAAAAGGAAATTCTTCTCAGCAGTTAATTCAAGCAAATTATCAAGTTGGTCTTCAGAAAATGAGACCATGTGATTTGGGTTAGTACATGCAATGGAGATAAGTAGAAGGCTGAAAAACATCTGTAATAGAAACCTGACAATAAATTGAGTCCTCGCTGTCCATGGGTATAATTTCCTCACCCCCAGCCTCTCTTTCTTGATTTGAAAATCCATACTTTTTGATACATGTAATGTACTCTGTGTTTAATTTGTCATCTGTGGATTAAAATGGGTAAGGAAGAGTTGTGTTTTTCCATCATGAAGAATGAAGGCTATGTTAACCTGCCAAAAGTGTGAACACAGATCCTTAGTATTGTGTGCAAGTGTAATTTATATTAAGCAACTTAATCTTTTTTTGAAAACTGTTGTGAATGTTGCTGAGACATTGCCAATTCTGCTATGCTGCAACTCTCTGAACTATGAGGAATTAATCATTCTGTATCTTGGAGCACATGTAGAATGCACTTCATGGTGTTAAGCAGTGCCTTCTTCAGAATCATCTTTATTTTCCCAGATGCCTCACATGTGGAGGACGAAACCACAACAAAAGCAAGTTGTTTTTTTTTCCTTAAGTGAAGGCACTCTTTCAAGGTTTTCACATTTGAATTATTTTTTTATGTTGATTGTAGAATCATTTTCTATTCCAAATGATATTTTTTTCAGACAGAGGTGCACATGTTTGTCTGTGTGTGCACAACAAGCCACCAAAGTTCTTGTAAAACGCAGAAGATTGCTCTGAGGAATCCAGGTGAGATAAACCAACCTTCAAGAATCTGTGGTTGGATTATGTCCTGGCATATCTCATAGCCTTAAATCTTCATAAGTACAAAGCAAAGTGTAA